GAGGCTCCGAGGAGGCGTCTGGGGCTCGATTTTGGGAGGATGTCTCAGGCGAAACCGCCATTCTCTGAGAATCGGGGTCAAAATTATTGAAATTACCATGTGTTTTTGAAGGTTTTATGTTAACATGTTGAATTTCCCATGTGTTTTTGGACCCGGTGCCACCGATTTTCAGAATTTCGAGGATGTCCCGAGCGAAACGGCAAGAAAAATCGCGGACAACGTGCGCATTAATCGCCTCTGAGCTCTACTCCCTCGGAGAGGTGCGTATGAGAACATATATATGTATGTATGTATGTATGTATGTATGTATGTATGTATGTATATATATATGTATATATATAACATATTTATCTATATATAATATACTAGATATATATATATATATGAAATTATACTATCCCAGGGGGAAGCGTTAAGTCAGGGGGGGGGGTAGAGTGTATTCTATTTTTAGAAAGGAGAATCCACTCTGCTGAGCTTGAAATCGTCATCTCCACTGCTCGCGCAAACGTCCCACCCTCCAACCCGCAACTTGTTTGGCTAAGCTCATGATGCGGGGGACGGCGGCGCCACCGATGACGACATCGATGGTAACATCCTCATTGCCGATGCTCGTCGCCGTGAGTTGATGATGAAGGTGGGCACATAGACGATACTCGGACGTGCGCGATGACAAGATGACGTCGGCAACGTCTGCGACAATGACGAAGATAGTTCCAGCGACGACGATGTTAAAGAGGGCGACGGCACGAACGACACCGGCGCCAATGATGGCAACCACGTTGACGATGCTGATGTCGATCTGTCGGCAGGTGATCGCGGTGATGCTGACAAGGGTGAAAAGGAAATCCGCGCGCGCGGAAGTTCAGTAAATCCGTCAGACTGATCATGCGCGCGCGGCGGTGCGCGCATGTGGCCCGCGTGGCATTTTTTGCAAGGGATTCGCGCCCTCGGCGCATGGCAGGAGTATCGCGGGTGCACCGCCCGGTGACATGAAATCGCTGGATTTGGCAGAATTCATAAGAATCCAACAGTTTTTGAATGATTTTAGCATGCGCGCGCGGACAGGAAATCCCACCAGCCCTCTGGGCGTAGGTGGTCTAGAGCAGATCCTCTTCCACCCCTCCCTCTTCCCCCTTGAGGAGGGGTTTACCCTTCCCCCTACCCCCTCCCCTGGACCTGGACGGAGGGTTTCGCGAGCGGTCGGACGGCTCTTTTGGCCCCAAGATGGCTCCAAGAGCGCGTCAGAGAGCCCAAGATGAGCTCCAAGATGGCTCAAGATAGCGCAAGATCGCTCGAGATGGCTCCTAAGATGGTTCCGAGAGGCCCAAAGACGGCCCCAAGACGGCTCCTTGTGGCCAAAGAACTCCCCAAGGAGGCCCCGAAAAGGCCAAAATCGTCCCTAAACCTTGGGAAAATCAATGTTTTTTGCTTTCTCCCCGTTTCGCTTCCGATGGCCATCCACGGCCTCAAGATGGCTCCAAGATGGCCCAAGAGGGCCCCACAAGAGGCCCAAGAGAGCCCCAAGACGGCCCCAAGAGCGCCCAAGAGCGCTCCAAGAGCGCCCCAAGAGCGCCCCAAGAGGCGATGTTTGGAGCTCCTGAGGGGGGAGGCTAATTAGGGAACCCCCCTTCGTTGATCGATCTCCTCCAAGATGGCCCCAAGAGCGCCCCTACAGCCCCCAAGAGCGCCCCAAGAGCGCCCCAAGAGGCGCCCAGACGGCCCCAAGAAGCGCCCAAGAGGCCTCCAAGAGGCTCCCAAAAGACCCCCAAGAAGCCTCAAGAGGATCTCCGAAATGCATTTAAGACGCTTCTGGCTCTTCGGTTCGCCGTCCTCTTCAATTTCTCATCCCCCTCTTCCTCCTCCTTCTCCTCCTTCTCCTCCCTCTGCTCCTTCTCCCTTCTCGTCCTCCTCGTCCTCTCCCTACTCCACATCCTCCTCCTCATTCTCCTCCTCCTCCTCCTCCTCCTCCTCCTCTTCCTCCCCCTCCCCCTCTGACGAGGATCCCTGCTCCATCCTCCCCCTCTCGGGGTACGTGACATCTTCCCCCGCCCTTTGTTATTCTGCATGCTCCCCGACTTCCCTGATCACCTCAACTCCCCTGGGCATCGTTTCTGGATGGGCTGGTGGGGATACGCGAAGCGTCAACAATTTGCAGACATTTTGTTGCACAACTTTTTTTTTTTTTTTTCTCTAAAGGCTTTTATGCTGAACTGCTTGCAAACACGCTGTGTTTGGTACGATTTTGACATGGACGCGCGCGTGATACTTCGTGGATTTTTTGGCAGCGGGATTATGGAAATTTGCTTTCTTAAGATGAAGAAGTGTGCGCGCATAGTATGATTTGACAGGGATGGCAGGGGGGGGGGCGATGCCCTCCTGGCTGGGATTGTACGAATTCATATTTAGGATGGACGACTGTGCAGAATAAATATGACATTGCAATACCCCCGGGGGGGCCACTAACTCCGGGGGGGGGTAGAGCCTATTTTTCTTGTAGAAAGGAGAATCTACGTTGGGCAAACAATGTGGTACAATTCACTTCTGTTGGCAATGAGTTGTCCACTCCACTGCTCGCGCCAACATCCCGCCCACCCGCCCGCAACTTGGTTTGCAACACCTCTTAAGAAAGTGCCGGCGGGTACCAAATGGCACTTGGCAGCGACACCGACGCCGACGACGACAGCGACAACGACAACGACGACGCCGCCGACAACGACTACGACGACACCGGCGACGTCTCCAACGACTTCGACGACGCCGACAAAGACGACGACGACGACACCGACGCCGACGACGACGCCGACGCCGACGACGACGATGACAACGACGACGACGCCGCCGACGACGACGACGACGCCGACGACAACGAAGACGACGACGACGACGTCGCCAGCGAAGACGGCGACGACGACCAGGGGAAAAGGAGGACGACGACGGCGGCAACGACGACAACGACGAGGGGGTAGGGAAGATGGCGACGACGCGAACGACGAAGAAGGAGGGAAGACGGCGATGCCGACGACAATGACGAGGAAGGGGGGGAGACGACGACGACGACAGAATAGGAGGGACAACGATGAAACGCCGACGACGACGACGAGGGAAGAAGGACGACCACGGTGACAACGACGACGAGGAAACGCAGGGGACGACGACGGCGACGACGACGAGGGAGGAGGGAGGACGACGACGACGACGACGACGACGCAAGAGGGCGCGCGCACGCTTTTGTTGAACATCCGTGTTGCGAAACCTTGGGTTTTTGTATGTTTTTTGGACACTCGATTTTGAATTCCTTCCGAAGCCGACCGTTTTTGAAGGACTTCGGCATGCGCGCGCGACGACGCGCGCGTCTGCACTTCGCTCATTTTTTTGCAGAGCATTCTCGCGACGGGACGCGCGCAAAGGGCGTTCGAAAGATTTCGACATGCGCGCGCGAAGCCCGTTTGGTAGCATTTCTTGAACACCTTGAACAACCGACGGTTTCCTTAAGATTTCGCAAGCGCGTAAGGTTTTCTAGCAAATCAGTGCTGCGAAACCCTGTGTTTTTGAAATTTTTGGCTTTGAAACTCGATTTTGAAATCCTTCCGAACTCGAGAGTTTTTGACGGATCTCGGCATGCGCGCGCGACGGCGCGCGCGTGTGCCCTTCGTCCCATCTTTTGCAAGGGACTCTTGAAGACTTATGGTTCTTGATAGACGAGAGTGCGCGCGTACATTTTTTTGTAAAAAATGGCGGGGGGGGGCGACACCGGTTTGGCTGGGATAGTGCGAGCTCATATTTCGGATGGACGAGTGTGCAGAATCATCTGTAAATTGCAATGCGGAAATGTGACCCGTTAGCCCCGGGGGGGGGGGTCGAGTTTATTCTTTTTTAAGAAAGGAGAATTGGCTACTCTGCACCGCCCTTGACCACCTCCACTGCTCGCGCAAACATCCCACCCTCCCACCCGCAACTTGTCTGGCAGAACTCATGATGCGGGGGGCGGCGGCGCCGCCGATGACGACATCGATGATAACTTCCTCATTGCCGGTGCTCGTCAACGTGAGTCGATGACGAAAGTGATCATATCGACGATAGTCGGACGTGCGCGATGACAAGATGACGTCGGCTGATGCTGCCAGGTGATCGCGGGGATGTTGGCAAGGTTGAAAAGATAATCCGCGCGCGCGGAAGTTCAACAAATCCGTCAGACTGATCATGCGCGCGCGGCGATGCGGGCATGTGGCCCGCGTGTTTTTTTTAAAAGGGATGCGCGCCCTCGGCGCATGACGAGAATATCGCGGGTGAGCCGCGCGGTGACATGAAATCGCTGGAATTGGCAGAAGTCATAATACTTCCATGGTTTTTGGTATGATTTTAGCACTAGCGCGCGGACAGGACATTTGCAACATTTG